GATTTTAAGAAATATTGGAAATACTTCATAAGTGATTTACGTGAGTTTTAAGTAATATTATTCACCAATTAGTGTTAATTATTTAGAAGTCGTACATTAAGAAGCTTTGATAAAATTTTATAGATCATTGGACTCCATATTTTGAACATCTGAAAGAATCCTGGGAGAAGAGACACAATCCTAACTTATTGTTCCTGTTTTACGAAGAGCTTTCTAAGGTATTTCTAATCACACTATGTATGTTATTGCCAAGGATTACTAAAAATAGCGAAAAGAAAGAGAACTCGGATCACCAGTTATTAATTGACTTAATATCAGCCAAAACCATAAAGTGGATCTATGCGTTGCTGGTCTTTATGTAGGTAACAGCATAAAAAAGAGATTAAAGTTATAACTCAAGGGTTAATCTTGCCATTTATCTTATAAAAGTCAACAATTGACTTGAAATTTAAAAAGACTATGCGTAACCGTCTCGCTCACCGATTGATCGGCCCAACGGGAAACACCCTTAACCGCTTCGCGCTTTTCGAATAAAATTAAAATGCCTTTGGGTGTGTGAAAGTAACGTTCTGGTTATTAACATTGCTTGTTATTGTAATATCTTTCCACTCACTTTGTATCGCCATAATATTATGAATTAGAAAAATTTTTGCATATTTAGAATCGGCTCACTTCTTAATTGTAGTAATGCTTAATGACAGAAATTGAACGTTTCTTTTACAGGCAATATTGGTGTCTTTTGTACCGTAAGTAACGAAAATGACATGTATTTATTCCCAAATGCTTTCAGGATTTACCAGCGGCGGTGCGACGAGTCGCCGACTTCCTCGGCAAGTCTTTCACAAAAGAAGAAATCGACAAACTGTGCGAACATCTCAGCATCGATAACTTCAAGAATAATAAATCCGTCAACTACGATGTTATGAAGGAATTAGGAATTTTAATATCAGACGGACAGTCCTTTATCAGAAAAGGTAATTTTTAAAAAATTAATTGATTTGAGTCAATAAGCGTTTTTTGGTCTTTCGGTTCATATACATTTTTAGTGTTTTAGTGAAAGTAACTAACTCTTCCTAGAATACAGGGGTGGAAGGTGGCGTTATTTTTAATTATTTACTATATTTAATATTTTTAGGTAAAGCAGGAGGCTGGCGCGATTATTTTGACGAAGAAATGGCACTAGAAGCTGACAAATGGATGGAAAAAAATCTGAGCGATACAGACTTACGCTTCCCACACTTAAAACAGTAATATGTACTTATAATATCCCTCATACAAACTGTGTAAAAATCAATAATTTAAACTGTCGTAATTTTAATTTTATTTTAAACTATGTGTGAATCTCTATGTATGATTGTTAATTTTGTAAATAAAAAGATTTTAAACTTAGTGTGTTTTTTACTTTCATGCTCCCTACGTTTAGGGTAGTCAAGTAGTTAAATTGGTTATTAAATTTCAATTTATTTAAAAGATCAATGAGTGAAAAATGAAATGAAAAACAAAAAGGTGATATAACCATTTATTAGAATAAATTGTTGTATGTCCGTTTGCAACACCATGATAGTAAAGTTAACATTGACATAAGTAAAAATAGCGACATAAAAAACATTAATTTTACTGTTTTATTTAATATTAATTAATATAAACGTACAATCGTTACTTTACCATAAATAAAACAATGTCTCAGTCCTCCTTCTTCACAATTTTATTTAAATAATACGGTTCTACAAAGGAAATAAATAAAAAAAAATCAGATTTTAAATCAATCTTTCGTTGGTAATATAAAAATTCTAAACAGACTCGTTACGATGAATAATAACCGCGGAAGGCTAACAGCGAGTCGGCAACTTACAAATCTATAAAAAGCGACTCTATAATATAAAAGTGGGAGCTCGCTCCCGCACCTAACGACGCGCCTCGACGGCTTTAAAACTATAATACACTTATAGAAAATCACAAAATGTAAGCGGAAATAATAGGAATCGTTAGCGAGTGGGGGGGGGCAGGGGTC